TCTTCTCTTCATACTGCTTGGATAAAAGGCTTTGAAATCTCTGCAACAACAACTGCATAGTCTTCTTCTGATGTAACTAATACCATCTTCTCATCACCAACATCACCAATGTTCACAACAGATGATTTTCTTCCTCTTCTGTCCCAACTCCAACCACTTCTCTGGTTTTAACTACTGCTGATGCATGAAGATATTCTGGATGTAAGGCATGCTTAGATCATGAACCTATATGCGACAGTATCTCTCCTGCATCAGACAGGACAGTTATACCAGACCATTTCCATCAACTGATGCAACAACTACAGCTCCTGCCTCACCAGAACCAGAATCTGCAGAGATTTCTCAAGCTCCTGCTCATCAAATTGTCACTCGCTCTAAGGCTGGCATTTCAAAGCCGAACCCAAGGTATGCACTTCTCACAAACAAAGTGTCATATCCCAAGCCTAAGACGGTTAAAACGGCTCTCAAGGATCCAGGCTGGAACGCAGCAATGAATGATGAAATAGAAAATTGCAGAGAAACAAAGACCTTGTCCTTAGTTCCTTACTCACCAAACATGAATGTTTTAGGAAGTAAATGGGTTTTCCGAACCAAACTTAAGGCAGATGGTTCTTTAGATAAGCTAAAAGCTAGACTTGTTGCTAAAGGATTTGATCAAAAAGAAGGCATTGACTATCGTGAAACATATAGTCCTGTTGTCAGAACACCAATCGTTCTAACTGTTCTTCACACTGCAACGGTAATGGGTTGGGACATCAAACAAATGGATGTCAAAAACGCCTTTCTTCATGGCGATCTAACTGAGGTCGTTTACATGAAGCAACATGCAGGTTTTGTTGATACAGAACATCCTGATCATGTTTGGTTGCTACACAAATCTTTGTACGGTCTTAAACATGCACCACGGGCTTGGTTTGACAAGTTTAGTAATTATTTGCTTGAGTTTGGTTTTGTTTGCAGCAAGCTGGATCCCTCTCTATTTGTCTACACACAAAATAGAGATGTTATCATGTTGTTACTTTATGTTGATGACATGGTCATTACGGGCAATAAGTCTTCTGCAATAACCAAGTTTCTCATTGACATCAACAGACATTTCAGAATGAAAGATTTTGGTCAGATGCATTATTTCTTAGGCATTCAGGCACACTTTATAAAGAGGGGCTTTTCTTGTCTCAGCAAAAATATGCTGAAGATCTTCTTTCTATGGCTGCAATGAGTGATTACTCACCTATGCCCACTCTCTTATCTCTGCAACCGCATTTTACCCCAAATCAAACTGAGCACTTTGAAAATCCAACATATTTCAGAAGTCTTGCCGGAAAGCTGCAATATCTCACTCTAACTCGGCCAGACATTCAATATGCTGTGAATTTTGTGTATCAAAAGATGCATCACCCTACTGTCTCAGAATTCAAGTTGCTTAAACGTGTTTTTCGTACATAAAAGGTACAATATCAATGGGTATTACCTTTCACACTACAAAAAAACACTCCATTTACAACGAATATATATTCGTTGTAAAATTGTTGCAAACAGGACTTACCATCGATTTTACGCCGAAATCGTAATCGTCGTTAATCGATCGTCGCTAATGCGAAATCGTCGTAAAATCGTCGTAAATTAGCGACGAATAAAAATCGTCGCTAATTTACAACGATTTTACGACGATTATTTATTTTTTTAAAAAATAAAATTATTGTAAAATCGTCGCAATCGATAATTATTTATTATTTATTATTTTATATTTAAAATAATAATTACCGGTGGTAGTCGGTGTCTCCGGTGGTGGCCGGTGGTCGCCGTGGTCGCCGGTGGTGGCAGGTGGTCACTGGTGGTTGCCGGTGGTGGCAGGGTGGTCGCCGGTGGTGGTGGCCGATGGTCGCCGGTGGTGGCCGGTGGTGGTCGCTGGTGGTTGCCGATGTTGGCCGGTGGTCGCCGGTGTTGGCCGGTGGTCGCCGGTGGTGACCCGTGGTGGCCGGTGGTGTGGCCGGTGATGTGGCCGGTGATGTGGCCGGTGGTTATTCTGGTGTTAGTGGTACACTGATTGTTTAATAGTTATGAGTAGGTATATATATATACTAGAACAAATTTTCCAAAACTACCGATGTGGGACTTTGTATCTTTTATGAAATCGTTGTAAAATCTTTGCAATTTACGACAATTTTTTTTGTTTTTTAAAATTAAATTAATAAAAAAATCAAATCATCGTAACATCGTTGCAATTTACGACGATTTGATTTTCTTTTAAATTAATAAATTAGAAAAAAGAATTAAATAGAAAAAAATCAAATCGTTGCGACGATTTTACGACAATTTAATTTTTTTATTATTATTTTCTAAAAACAAAACATCATCGTAAAAACGTCGTAAATAGCGACAGTTTTACAACGATTTTATTTGCAACGAATTAACGACGATTGTGTGCTAAATCATCGTTAATTCGTAATTAATTTGCGACGACAATAATTCGTCGTAAAAAATCGTTGCTAACTCTGTCTTTTCTTGTAGTGTCAGAAGGACAGTGACTTCCTTCTCAAAGCTTAAAGTGACTCTGATTGGACTGGCTGCCCTCTCACAAGGCGTTCTACTGGTGGTTACTGCACTTATCTAGGAAACAACTTGATCTCCTGGTAATCAAAGAAGCAGATTACCGTGGCAAAAATCTCCACTGAAGCAAATATCTTGCCTTATCCGAAACACCATCTGAACTTACTTGGCTTGGCAACCTCCTCAAGGACCTCAGTATTCCTATTCATGTTACACTTGAGATATTCTGTGACAATCTCTCAGCTGTTCAGCTCACAGTAAATCCCACATATCATGCTCGTTCTTAAGCATTTTGAGACTCATCATAATATCATTATGTTCGTGAGTGTGTCGCACTTGGCTCACTGGTGGTAAATCATGTTCCATCTCAACTGCAGATAGCTGATATCTTCACCAAATCCTTACCAGCGGCTTCTTTCTTCTCTCTGAGGTTCAAACGTGGCATAGAAGTTTCTCCCACGCCATGTTTGAGAGGGGCTGATTGTACAAAGAACCTAAACGACATCTCTTCTTCGGAATTCAGAAAAATGACGAACTTTGGCCAAGACCAAACAAGGCCCAAGAGTGAAGAAGCTAGCTCAAAACCCAGCCTTCAACGGTCTCCTCCTTCAAACCTGCAAAAAGGCAAAACACAAAAGCAGAGTACGAACGGAGATGACGAGAACTTCATTACAGCTTGTACGGTTGAAGTGCTCAACAAGTTTGACACCCTGGCATGCCTGTATGGAGAATGCTAACCACAGAAATGAGTTTGTTTTAACTGTGGTAGAGTTATCTTAGGGTTTTCAATGTTTTCCTTAAACTCTTGTATAAATATCAGCTAAGTTGTAATGGAGCCTTTAAGCTCTTAGAAATGAATTTCAGTTTAAAATATCTTTGAGTTTCAAAATTATTTCATAAACCCATTATAGGCGTAAAATATTAGAGACAAATATTGAAAAAATAAACAGAAAAGACTTAAGAAAAACGTTCTGTAAGTAGAATAGATTAAAAAAATTAACGACGAAGTGGAAGTGAGTTGACTGTTTTCTTAATCCGAAATATATTCTGTAGTGTGACGGTGTATGAGATAATGAGGGTCTGATTGGCGTGTAGGCTATGAGGACTTTTACAGTTCTTACAACAATTTTTTTTCCAATCAAATTTTTTGAATTTTAAAATATTTTAAAACTTTTACAACACTTTTTAGATTTCTCTTTGTTTCTTTTTACCACCTTGTTTTGTTAGCTTCTAAACTTTCTCTCTCCTACTTTTTACCCATAATTTTTTTTTCAATAATATTCTCTCTCCTACTTCTCACAATTTCAATTATTTCTTATTCTTATATTGGCTTATGTGCATTCATTCTTTTAATATATAGTTAAAGATTTTTGACTGCCATTTTGATGAACTTATTTGAGTATAGTAAACCAAACAAAATTTTCAACACAAAAAATAAAACAATATATTCAACAAAATCTTTGAAACAATCAAACACTTATTATGAGATCACCAGAATGATTATAAGTACTATAAACAATATATATTTTATTGAAATCTATATAAGAAAAGTTGCAAATACTATTTCTTGGATAGTCTTCAAACTTACAATTCCAACAACAATGACATCTTCATGAATATTTATCTATTAATTTCTGATTTTTTGTATTTTCATTATATTCTTCCATTGTATTTATTATTTATGTTAATAATTAAATTTTATAATTTTATTGTATATAATTTATATTTGGGGTTGAAAATTTGATATTTAAAGTAACAGTCACCGTTTTTATAGATTTTGTCAACAATCATACTTTTAAAAATATTTAAAATAATAGTTACAGTTTCTAAAGTCAAAATCGCTAAACCTAAAAGTTTACAGTCACAGTCCTTACCAATCGGACCCTGATTCTCATGATATAATCACTTGAAACTATAATCGCAGCACTCAATTATAGAATCGACGAACGTTATGTTTTACATATACTTTTGGACTTATTTTGGAAAGAAGACAAAGACTAGAAAGATTGAAGGTTTGTGTGAGTTTTCTCTCTGTAAAAAAAAAAGAGAAAGTCTATAAGAGAGAATAAGAAAAACAAAATTCTTTTTATACAACCTCATAGTTTTACCCAATAAATGTAAATAATAATGGAGAGATATGGAGGTTACAAATCCAAATTGATTTTAAGTCAATTGTGAATAAAGGAGATGTTGAATTAAATTGTTTGGTGGACCAACAATTTAAAACAATCATGAGCCAAAAATATCTCATCTCCTCTAATACACTAATTAAGTGTATAAGAATTTATCCGAGCTATCCGAGTTATCTTCAATGTAGCTGGAAACCATGGAAACAAGACTGTGACAGACGTCATACATTGCTCTGTTTCTCGGCGACAAAGATGCGTTGATGAAAGTTATGAAAAAAGAGTTTTCCGGAGCTAGGGCTAACGACTAAAGATTGTGTTGAAATGAGCTGGATATCCATTGTTTATATTGCTGGATTCCCAAGTGGGACTCCTACCAATGTTTTGCTTCAAGGGAAGTCTCCTTTCCCAAAGATCAACTTCAAAGCCAAATCGGATTTCGTCAAGAACCCGATTCCTGAATCCGGTCTGATCGGGATGTTCAAGAAGTTGCTTATAGAGGACTCGCTGACGATGATGTGGACTCCTTACGGAGGAATGATGGCGAGAATCTCTGAGTCTCAAATCCCTTTTCCGCATAGAAAAGGAGTCATCTTCAAAATCCAGTACATAACGGTTTGGCCAGACAGCGACATGAGACCGAGCAGACACATTAAGTGGATCAGAGATCTGTACAAATTCATGACGCCTTATGTCTCAAGTAATCCACGACAAGCCTACGTGAACTACAGAGATCTTGGCCTAGGAAAGAACAAGAAAAACGTGAGCTCGAACTTGAAAAATGCGAGCGTGTGGGGAAGGCAGTACTTCAAGAACAATTTCAACTTATTGGTGAGGATTAAATCAAAGGTTGATCCAGAGAATTTCTTCCGAGCATCCCACCTCTGCCCATTTGAAGCTACGTTCATGTCATAATAAGAACAATGCCAGTCTAAACCTAAATATACATGTCTCGTTCCAATAGCAATATAAGATATAACAACAATGTAAGATATCGAGAAACTCGAGGTCACCGAGGAAGGAACAATATGTTGTTGTTTCGTGTTATAATTATCAAATTGTGTTCTCTTCCATGTAGCAATTTTTAATGATCTCTATCGATATTTTTAAATCCCTATCAAAGGGAAGCGAAACTACACATAAAATCAAAAACCACAACAGTTAGTTTAACTATGATAGAAAACAGAACAAAAGCAATTTAATCCGAAACTAAGATACCGCACAAACCAAACAAAACTTCTAATTTCTAGAGATCATTTGAAAGAACTTAACGAAGATGTCAACAATAACCATTGATAACATATTCCTCCTATAGAGATGCAGAACTATGGTTCAAAACATTAATTCCTAAGCTTCATAATCTGGCAAGATACAAACATGTTGTGAATCAAACTAGAAAGCAATAATCTAAGAGAAAAATCGTAAATTGAGGCAAAATACTCAGTTAGGGTTTTATTATTAATTGTGTAAATGATACAATTACAATTCTTAAAGCCCTGAATTTATATTCTAAAAAACTTGATTCCCAAACCTACTCGATAAAAGATTTTTCTTTTTCGAATCTATTAGAAAAACGTACCACTCCTCAACTCCCTCTAGCAGATCTTCTTTAGAATATTTTGTCACAGAATCAACAAATTTCTCAAAATTAGCATGTCTAAACCCATCTTCTCACTGAAATAATAAAATTTGTGCTTTTAATGAGTTCACTTTTAACAGTTGAATCCATATGAATCTTTTAACTTCATGTGCATATTTAATTTTCTAGTTTTTTCTGTTAATAACAAAAAAAAATTCTTAAGATTTCTAATTCTAGCAAAGTCAAACAAAAAAATGGGTCACAAGCTGGAATAAAGTCAACTTGTCATGTAGTTAACTAGTTACCACGTGACTGTCAACAAAATAATGCAAACATAGCCGACGAATATCTTATGATTTGATCCATCAACTAAATTAATGGATCTTGTTTTATCACGATCTTTCAAATATATACACATTTCTTCATTGACAAAAATAGAAAACTCCGAACATACATCCATTTCCGTCTTGTCCTCGCAGATTATGTGTTTGGCTGCAGGGATGAGAATTTCTAAATCATTCCCTGCGATTTTTTATATATCGTTTATAGCCCTATATTTTTCTTTGTACACAATAACACCAATTTTTTCAAACTCCCTACAAGACAATTTCATCAAATGTCTCGAAAAAAACACATATGTTGATTTTCCACTCGAGAAAACGTTCTTCAGTCCTAAAAGAAACGCCTCGATCTTTAAAGAAGTTCTTGAATCGACGATTCAAAATCAACGGCTCTTGACCAAGTCTCTACCTAAACCAATTTGCATATTTAAACCGGTTCACGAATCTCACGTCCAAGCTTCCATCATATGTTCCAACAAACTTGGAATTCATCTCCGAGTTAGAAGCGGCGGTCACGATTTCGAAGGCTTGTCCTATGTCTCACAGATGGAAACATCATTTGTATTGCTCGATTTCTCAAAACTGAGACAGATCAAAGTTGATATTGAAGACAACAGTGCTTGGGTTCAAGCTGGTGCTACACTTGGTGAACTTTACTACAGGTAATCTAAACTACGTTTGTTTCGTAGGTCAGTTTCTCTGTTTGCATTAATATATAAACTTTAAATTTTCTTACAAACAAATTAAAAAAATGACAAAAATTTGAATTATTATGAATAATACTAAAACTAAAATTGTTACCAACAGTCAATTTTTTTTGTCCTTTGGCTGTAAATTTTCAAAATGAAAGAAAGCTTGATAGTTCAGTTACCTGTCTGTCGACTCAACAGACTCAACAGTCAACAGTACACCAATATACAATACAATTTAGCTCTAAGTAGCAACATTAGGAGCTAAACTAAGGAACTAAAATGCATGAAATATAACTGATTTTTTTTTTTGTGACAATTCTATTCTTCTCTATTTTCTCACAAAAGTTTTTTTAACATAGCATATACATGTTTCCATGAAATATCGATGGTGTTTTTGTTTAACTACAGAATCGCAGAGAAGAGCAATCGCCATGGATTCCCTGCGGGTTTGTGCTCAACCGTAGGCGTAGGTGGATATATAACAGGCGGTGGATATGGTCCCTTGATGAGGAAGTATGGTCTTGCTGCAGATAATGTTCTAGACGCAAAGATCGTTGATGCTAATGGCAAATTACTCGACAGAATCGCGATGGGAGAGGATCTGTTTTGGGCTATCAGAGGAGGGGGTGGAGCGAGTTTTGGAGTAATTCTTGCATGGAAGATCAAGCTTGCTCCTGTTCCTGAAACCCTAACCGTCTTCACGGTTATCAAAACGTTAGAACAAGACGCTAACTTCAAGACTCTTTCTAAGTGGCAACGAATTGCACACAAGCTTGTTGAAGAGCTCTTCATACGAGTGACAATCAGTCCCATTGGAAACGGTGAAAACAAGACTGTGATGACAATGTACAGAGGTCTGTTTCTTGGCGGGAAAGGCACTTTGATGAAGGTTATGAACAAGGGTTTTCTGGAACTAGGGCTAACTCGGAAGGATTGTACCGAGATGAGCTGGATCGAATCCACTGTTTACAATGCTGATTTTCCGGCGAACACTCCTATTGAAGTTTTGATTCAAGCGATATCACCATTCGAAAAACTTTCCTTCAAATCAAAGTCGGATTTCGTGAAAGAACCTATTCCTGTTTCAGGGCTTAAAGGAATTTTCAAGAGGATGATGCAAGAAGACTCTCTTGCTTCATTTCTGGCTTGGACTCCTTACGGTGGAATGATGGCTAAATTCTCTGAATCTGAGATTCCTTTCCCGCATAGACGCGGCACCCTCTTCAAGATTTTCTATAACACAAACACCGAGAAGAGACCTAGTAAACACATTAACTGGCTTAGAGATCTATACAGTTTCATGACGCCTTATGTCTCAAGCAATCCAAGACAATCGTATGTGAACTACAGAGATCTAGACCTCGGGAAGAACAAAAACAACTCAAAGGCTAACTTCAAGAAAGCCCAAATCTGGGGAACTAAGTACTTTAAAGACAATTTCGACAGATTGGTGAAAATTAAATTAAAAGTTGATCCACATAACGTCTTCAGACACGAGCAGAGTATCCCAACTCTGCCCACAACTATGTAAATTATTAATAAAGATATTGCACCTAGCCTAAAAAACATGCAATAAACATTCGAACAAAGGTTCTTCTGTATTTCAGAAAATGGTTTTTTTTTTGGTTAAATATGTGGTACTTTGTTTTACCTCAAACTTGAATCATTTCTTCTTATGTGGTCACCCAAGTGATTCTTAGTACCATAGCATCGTATACGAAGGCATGTTCTCGTTCTCGTTCTCGTTCTCCATCTCATATCTCAATCATTGCTGTATTATAATTACAAAATTAAAACAAATATTAAACAATATGTTGTAGTTTCGTGTTATAATCATCAATTTGTGCTATCTCCCATGTTGCCACCTCCTTTTCGTAATTTTTAATATCTCTTGTGATTTCTGTTCACATTTTTCTATCCACGTTTTCCTGACTTGAAGGAATTGCAAGATCTTGACTGATCAGCTTGTCTCGTTAACTCATGTGGATAACATGCTTATTTTTGCGCTATAACTATCTTCTCTCGGTCTCGGATTATCTAGTCGTTATTAATCTTTAACCATAATCGTCAATTAGCATGTCTAACCCATCTTCTCACTGAAATAATAAAATTTAGTGCTTTTTTGTGTTCATTTTAAATAGTTGAATCCATATGAGTCTTTGAACGTAATGTGCATTTTTAATTATCTAGTTTTTTTTTTGATAACCAGAAAAAAAAATCTTAAGTTTTCTAATTCTATCTGAGTCAAAGCTAGGCGGCTCACAAAGTCACAAGCTGGAATGAAAGTTAACTTGTCTCGTCGTTAACATGTGGTGACTGTCATTGTGTCACATCATGAAATAAAATAATCATAGATAATGCAAACATAATCAACGAAAATATTTGACGAACGAAAAAATATTCAACGAAATTATTTGACCAACAAAAAACTAAAAATCAACGAAAATTTGACCAACAATGAGAAAAATCGACGAAAATCTTATAATAATTACGCCATAGACTTAATTAATGGGTTTCATTTTATCAAGATTTTTCATATATATGTTATGTAAATATTTTTATAAGACCTGAATTGATCAAATTGTAAAGTTTATTCTTTTTTTTTAAAATACAAAATATAAAATAAAATAATTTAGATAAAATTATTGTTTTTTATATATAAATTTAATTTTTATTCCTTTAACTTTTAAGATTAGGAACTATCGAATTTCTTTTTTTTCAAATAAGATTAGTTAAAATATAGTTAAGAATTAATAAAATATATGTTAAAATATGATTGTTTATCTTGACAACTTTAAATCATTAATTTAGTATTCTATAACCTGTGAAAAAAAAATAAAAACCAAAATAAAATCACCCATGGAAATATGTATTACATAAATTTAAAAATAAAGTTATCAACAATATTAAAATTATTTAACAACAAAATAATATAAATATAGTAATTAAAGCATATTCTAAAAGACTACACTAATACAACAATAACCAATTAATGCAGTAATCAACATGAGTAACATGAAAAAATGATATGTAGCTTATGAATTAAAAAGATTAGCAAATTTTTTTTTGGTTATGAATTTTTAATCTATTATTTAATTTTTTAATGCTAAACTGAAATATATAGTTTTTTTTTTCTTATAAACTATGGTTTATTTGTTTTTTATCTTTTTTTTGTTAATTTAAACTTATTTTTTTTATTTTACATTTTATGATTAGAAATAACTATCGAATTTTCTTTTTTTCAAATAAGATTATTTAAAATATAATTAAAAAATAATTAAATATATGTCAAAATCTGATCGTTTATCTTGACATGTGTCACGATCATGTGAGTTACCAACTTTGAATCATTCTCTTTTATATAATATATATATATATATATATAATAAAAAGATGAAAGCAAAAAAAAATAAACATAGAGAAAACAAAATAAAAATGTTAATGAGGCTTCTAAACTCTAGTCTAACCCCAATATATTTATTTATAGAAAATTATTAATTTGGACTCGACACTAAGAACAGAGATACAATGTACAAATACACACTAATTTTTCTAATTAAAATCTGAAACTTAAAACCTACCAAAATTAAATATATATAAGGAGCCTAATGCAGCCGCCTGTTTGGTTACATGGTGAGCACGGCTCTCTATATATACACATTTCTTCATTAACATACCTCCATTTCCACATTCGCAGATTATGAGCATGGCTGCAGGGATGAGAGTTACAAAATCAGTCCCTGTGGTTTCATATATATCTTTTCTAGCTCTATATTTTTCTTTCTACACAATAACACCAATTTCCTCAAACTCCATACAAGATGATTTCATCAAATGTCTCCACAGAAACACACATGTTGACTTTCCACTCGAGAAAACGTTCTTCACTCCTGAAAGAAACGCCTCGATCTTTGTCGAAATTCTTGAATCGACGGCTCAAAATCAACGGTTCTTGACAAAGTCACTACCTAAACCGATTCTCATATTTAAACCAGTTCACGTATCTCACGTCCAAGCTTCCATCATATGTTCCAAGAAACTCGGTATGGGTCTCCGCGTTAGAAGCGGCGGTCACGATTTCGAAGGCATGTCTTACGTTTCACAGATGGAAACATCATTTGTATTGCTCGATTTGTCGAAAATGAGACAGATCAAAGTTGATATTGAAGACAACAGTGCTTGGGTTCAAGCTGGTGCTACACTTGGTGAACTTTACTACAGGTAATCTAAACCACGTTCGTTTCATTTACATACAAGTTTCTGTGTTTGCATTAATATATCAAAATTTAAATTTAAAATTGTGTACTAACAAATCAAAGTTTTATAGAGGAGGTGTTATTCAATTTAAATTTAAATTTAAATTTAAATTCTAAAGTTTTTGTGTCATAACTTCGTTTTTCTTTTAAATAACTTGTTCATTATGTTTTTAAAAATTTATTTCAATGATTCATTATAGAAATAATTTAGTTTTGAATAGTTAAAATTAATAAGGTTTTAAAAGTCTAAGTTGAAAAACATAGTCAAATAAAGCTTTGAATATATATATATATAGCATTATTAGCATATATATATATATATTCCACTCTTCTTTATTTTCTCAGGAAAATGGTCAAATATTTGTAATATATGCTAATAATGCTACATGTTTCTATGTGTAATAGTAGTAGTTATGTACAGTGGCCGAGCCACAAATTTTCTTTATTGGGGGCATCAATGGAATATACATAACTTTATGAATGGGGGTGTTAATAAATTACTTTATAAATTGCACCATTTTATAAAATTTACTGGGGGCATATGATCCCAACCTAAACTATGTGGCTCTGCCACTGGTTATGTACATGCAAATATATTAAACCCTGTTCTAAAAATCAGCCATCTAGTCGCTTTTTTTTTTTTTTTGGTCAAAAGCCATCTAGTCGCTTTAAGTGATGTTTTCATCCATAATTGGGCTAATAAGTCGGGTGTCCGACTAATTTCCGTCAGACTGACTAATTTTTGCCTAAGTTAAATAATTCCATTTAGATGGCCGCGTAGCCTAATTTTATATTTATTTGTATCTATATTACACGAATCTTATTTATGTTTCTTATTAATTTTAATAATCATTATGTATTAGACCTAATATTTGTTTCTTATGCTGAACACAAAATTATATCAAAACTATTAACTATAGACTATAATAGATTAACATATTAAAATGAAATTAAAAACATGCAAAAACTAGTTTATGATTACTCCCAATTTTTTGTTAGGCGCATTCGACTGCCCGATTAACGCCTTTTCAACAAGGATATGGATATTATATGATGAACCATTGAATAATGAATTATGGTCAACTGTTTTTGTTTTAACTGTAGAATTGCAAAGAAGAGCAATCGCCATGGATTCCCTGCGGGTTTGTGTTCAACCGTAGGCATAGGTGGATATATAACAGGCGGTGGATACGGTTCCTTGGTGAGGAAGTATGGTCTTTCTGCAGATAATGTTCTTGACGCAAAGATTGTCGATGCGAATGGTAAATTACTCGACAGATCCTCAATGGGTGAGAATTTGTTTTGGGCGATTAGAGGAGGCGGTGGAGCGAGTTTCGGGGTAATTCTTGCATGGAAGATCAAGCTTGTTCCTGTTCCTGAAACCGTAACCGTCTTCACCGTCACTAAAACGAGAGAACAAGATGCTGACTTCAAGATTCTTTCGAAGTGGCAACATGTTGTGGACAAGCTTGTTGAAGAGCTCTTCATACGAGTGGCAATCAGACCCATTGGAAACGGTGGAAACAAGACTGTGATGACATCGTACAGAGGTCTGTTTCTTGGCGGACAAGGCACTTTGATGAAGGTTATGAACAAGGGTTTTCCAGAACTAAGGCTCACTCGGAAGGATTGTACCGAGATGAGCTGGATCGAATCCACTGTTTACAATGCTGAATTTCCGGCGAACACTCCTATTGAAGTTTTGATTCAAGTGAAATCACCTTTCGGAAAACTTTCTTTCAAATCAAAGTCTGATTTCGTGAAAGAACCTATTCCTGTTTCAGGGTTAAAAAGAATTTTCAAGAAAATGATGCAAGAAGACTCTCCTGCTTCATTTCTTGGTTGGACTCCTTACGGTGGAAAGATGGCTAAAATCTCTGAATCTGAGATCCCTTTCCCGCATAGAAACGACACCATCTTCATTATTCTTTATAATACAGACACCGAGACGGAACCTAGTAAACACATTAACTGGCTCAGAGATCTGTACAGTTTCATGACGCCTTATGTTTCAAGCAATCCAAGACAGTCATATGTGAACTATAGAGATTTAGACCTGGGAAAGAACGAGGAAAATTCAAAGGTTAACTTCAAAAAAGCTCAAGTCTGGGGAACTAAGTACTTTAAAGACAATTTCGAAAGGTTGGTGATGGTTAAATCAAAGGTTGATCCAGAGAACTTCTTCAGACACGAACAGAGCATTCCAATTCTGCATGTTCAAAGCTAGGATCATGATTCATGATATAACCACTACTATGTAAGAATAAAGGTATTTTGCACCCAGCCTAAAAGCATGTGATAAACGAGAAATTCGAACATTGGTTCTTCAGTAATTCAGAAAATGTTGTAGCTAATCATATATAGGCATGTCTGTGTTACTTAAGTTTTTTTTCCATTTCCTTTTTTTCATAATGTGGTACTTTGTTTCACCTCAAATTCGAATAATTGCTTCTTATTAATTTAAGTGGTTCTTAATACCATAGCTTCGTATACGAAGGTTTGTTCTCATTCTTGATCTCAAATCTTTATCATTAGTGTATTGTAATTACAATATTAAAAAATATTAAATATTAATTATATTAGTTTGCTTCATATATATATATATAATATATATATATAATATATATATAATATATATATATAAATAAATACATTGTATAAAACCCGAGCTTTTAAACATTTGTAAAATGGCTTTGATCCTTTTCGGCTTTTCCTTAATAGAAATGAACTAATGTCTAAAACTTTTGGGTTTAACCATATATTATCATCTGATCTAGTTGTTGTGACGTAGAATTCGATACTAGAAAATGGTCTAAAACTATATTCCTTTCATCAAATATATTTATCAAGACTAACATAATTATTTACACAAATTATATATATGCATATATTTCCAAATCAGTAATTTTACCCAATGAAAATATTTGGGAGAGCAACTAAATAAATGATAAAGCATTCTTTTGTCTAAAAGAACAAGACTATTTTTTAATCATTTGAGATGATTTATTCCTTTCTCTACATGTCTTCAACTTTTTATATCAAGAAATCACAACTAAATCTTCCTTTTTGGATGTGTGTCCAAATTGAAACAATTGAATGAGTCCGTATGAATAATTTTTTGTCAACTTATTAACGTGCAGTTTTCTAGCACACAATCTCAAAAAAAGGTCAACGGTTTCAAAATAAGTGAACACATGACAGTCACGTCATTAAGAAATGGACATCACACCAAACTTTTGACAATCACACCATCTTTGAAGATAAACTTATTGGATCTTATTTAATCGAAATGTAAAGGGAAATACAAACAAGTTTCTTCATTAAAAAAAAAAAAGAACAATAGACATTCATTTCCATCTTGAAGCCTAATTGTGTGTTTGGCTTCTCTCTTGCATATACACGGCCGGTTAGGCTGCCATCAAGCGATGGAATTTTCAAAACCAATTACTACATTATCTTGTATTTCGTTTTTAGCTCTATACTTTTCTTTATACACAATAACACCAATTTCTTCAACCTCATTACAACTACAAGATGACTTCATCAAATGTCTCCACGAAAACACGAATGTCAATTTTCCACTCGAGAAAACGTTCTTCTCTCCTGAAAGAAACGCCTCGATCTTCATAGAGGTCCTTGAATCGACGGCTCAGAATCAACGATATTTGACCAAGTCAATGCCTAAACCGGGTTTCATATTTAAACCGGTTCACGAATCTCACGTCCAAGCTTCGGTCATTTGTTCTAAGAAACTCGGAATACATCTTCGTGTTAGAAGCGGTGGTCATGATTACGAAGGCGTGTCTTATGTTTCACAGATCGAAACATCGTTTATAATTATTGATCTGTCAAGATTGAGACAGATCAATGTTGATATTGAAGGCAATAGTGCTTGGGTTCAAGCTGGTGCTACAATAGGTGAACTTTACTACAGGTAATATAAGTCTCTTGTTTTGTTTCAAATAAGTGTGTCCAATCGCAAAACCGAACTGTAACCGAATCAAAATAGTGTCATATGGTTTGGTTTCGGTTATATCATATAAACCGTACGGTTATCTCGACATTTGCATCTTAATTCAAATAGTTTATTACTTTGTTTGATGTTAAAGTGATGCTGCTATTCTTTTGGTTTCGTGATTTTAAATATGAAAAAAACTAAATTCTTCTTTACCGCTAAAAATCTACTAACTTTTTGCAAAATCTTATTTAGTTAGTAATACTAAAGGCATTGGCTTTGTTCTTATTTGCTACATTCCTAAGAAATGAATATAATTATTTTTTAAAATAATTCTTTGCTTTCATTATTATTAATTATTTTTCAAGTTAAAAGTTAGATTAAGCAGAGACTAGTATTCTGTTTACAAGTTAGAGCATTGATATTACTATTTCTTTTATGTTCTAATGAATTCAATTTCAAGCACATAAATTGAACTCACATAATCTTATATCAGACCAAATATAGTTTATGAACAAACGGAACCAAACAATAGCAACAAAGTAATATTTAACTATTAATTTAATCTTTGGTTTCATTAATTGTAGAATTGCAGAGAAGAGCAAGATTCATGGATGTCCTGCAGGTGTGTACCCGAGCTTAGGCATAGGTGGGCATATAACAGGAGGTGCATACGGTTCCTTGATGAGGAAGTATGGTCTTGCTGCAGACAATGTTGTAGACGCAAAGATCGTTGATGCTAATGGCAAATTACTCGACAGAACCGCGATGGGAGAGGATCTGTTTTGGGCAATCAGAGGAGGTTCTGGTGGGAGTTTCGGGATCATTTTATCATGGAAGATCAAGCTTGTTCCAGTTCCTGTAACCCTTACAGTCTTCACCGTCACCAAAACGTTAGAACAAGACGTAGGACTCGAGATTCTTTCAAAGTGGCAACGAGTTGCGGACAAGCTAGTTGAAGAGCTCTTCTTGTGAGTGTTCTTCACAATTGCTGGAAACAATGGAAACAAGACTGTGTCCATGTCGTACATAGGTCAGTTTCTTGGCGAGAAAGGCAACTTGATTGAAGTTATGAACAAGGGTTTTCCGGAACTAGGGCTAACTCTGGAGGATTGTGTAGAAATGAGCTGGATCGAATCCATTGTTTACAACTCTGGATTCCGGACAAACCCTCTTCCTCCTCCTGAGGTTTTGCTTCAAGCTAAGTCACCTTTAGGAGAAGTTTACTTTAAAGCGAAATCCGATTTCGCTAAAGAACCTATTCCTGCTTTAGGTCTTAAAGGGATGATCAAGAAGTTTCTTGAAGAAGACGCAGCGTTAGTGATCTGGACTCCTTACGGTGGAATGATGGAGAAGATCCCTGAATCTGAGATCCCATTTCCGCATAGAAGCGGAACCATCTTCATGATTCAGTATTACAGGAGCTGGTCAGAGACTGAGAAGAGACCGGACTTACGTATCAAATGGATCAGAGAGTTGTACAGTTATATGACGCCTTATGTCTCAAGCAATCCAAGACAAGCATATGTGAACTATAGAGATCTAGACCTGGGACAGAACAATCACAACAACTCAAAGGAAAACTTCTTAAATGCTCAAATCTGGGGAGCTAAGTACTTCAAAGACAACTTCAACAGATTGGTGAAGATTAAATCAAAGGTTGATCCAGAGAACCTCTTCAGACACGAACAGAGTATCCCACCTCTTTTATAACTTTAAGCTAAGCTCTTGTTTCTTACAATAGTATTCAAAATAAGAATAAAGGTTAAGAGCATACAATGAGCTCGAAGAAATCGAGTTTCCCTTCTTTCTTTCAGACAATTCTGAATACCTCTGATATAAACACCTCAAGTCCTCTCTCGTTGAACTACGGGTCGGTGTGGCTTTGGTGCTAAAACCCAAGAAAAACACTCTTAAAAGATGTTTCATCAAAGAACAAAGTTGCAGGTAGAGAGGAGACTGGTTTACCGCTGGGATTGCCTTGCTCATAGAAACATTTGAAAAGCGAGACAGCTTCGTCTGCCATTATTCCTCCTTTACACTTGTACCCTTTTCCTCTTTGAGCTTCTTCACTATTAGAAACAGAGATCATATCAATCCAATAACAAGGCGTTTTTCGTTCTAAGATTGTAGTGATCGTAGGACATACGGGATATCTGACGGTTGAGAATTGCCTAAGTGAAGCGACAAGATGGAACCACATCCCCCAAACTTGTCATTTGCACATCCATAATACACTTCCTTTATACCTTCAATTAAGAACAGATCATACCATTTTCTCATCAGAAACAGAAACACAAAAAAAATACCAGAAAAGGGTCTAATTCAGCTTAAGCAATCATACCAAGAAACGATAAGGCCGATGCGCACATGATGCAAGGTTCACATGTTACGTAAAGAACGCATTTCGAGAATTTCTCAGCGATTTGTGAAGGAGAGAGTCCATTTTTCCGCCACTCTCCAACAAGTTGATCAACTGCTTCCATCTCTGCATGTCTTGTGGCCTTTTCAAAACATAATTGTAACAAACGATCATATGTTTCTGTATTACTCGATAAAACAAGATAAGAGAGAAACTGTGAAAGTAGACTATCCAATAAATAGCTGAAGAAACTAGCTTAATCTAGAATAGATAAAATTTGTCAAGCGTAGTTGCTTTTTGAAAGTTTTTGAATGATTACATTGCGTGTCTCATTTGTTCGGTTTCTCCCTGAAGCAATGACCTTACCGTCCTCAAGAATGACACATCTGATCCATAGAAATCTTATATGACATAAGTAGATAAATGGTAAGAAAAAAAAATTGGGATGAAGCAAAGTGGCAAAAATTAGAGACCCCACGGGAACTTCAAGAGCCTCTAGAGCAAGTTTAGCCTGCAATCCATAGAAACCAACCACCATAACTCTAAAAGCAACAAACTTTTGGCAGTAATCATAGTAACCAAATTATACCAGTGTTACCTGGTGCAGAGCTAAACTCATGTACTTATGAGACTCTTCCTCACAATGGTCTTCTTTCACTGGTTCCATAACTTTATACTAACTTGGCTTCACCGGAGAAACTAAAATAACAATAATAGCCTAAACAATAAAACACATGTAAAGAGATGGCTATTGGGACTTGAACCTAATCACATTATGCCCTCAGGGATTAATCTAACCGAAAAGAAAACAGAATTTTGTGCATATTAAACAGAAAGCTTATAAGCTATGAACGAGGAAAACATAAGAAAGGTATGGTTTTGACAAAGTAGACAGTAATTAATATATGGAAGAAGACATAGTAAATGTTCATAAGGTTTAATTAATAGTTAACCTAAGTTAATGTAGCGAGTAAACTGAAAATAAGGATACGAAAACAAGTTCAAAATACTTTTGTCTGAATCAATCCCACTAGAGATTTGAAACTGAGAGAAAGATACAAAAACAAGATTGGTCTGAATTGGAACTAGAGATTAGATAGATGATGTCATACCGATACTTTTAGTGTTTCTTGTTTACTGTTTCAGATCGACGAGTTGTTGTTGTTTATCCGTACAATCTCCCCTGCTTCAACGATGAATCCCTCTGCTCTCCTCCATCAAGAAAGAACGAAATGCCGAGGAAGAATCACAGATTCAGTTCTGCGTATACACAGTCTCTGCCTCCGTCGCCGGAAAAACCGATTTGGTCGGCGATATTCGCCTGAGCAACGGATCCAAGAAGAAGAACTTTGTATTCAGTCTCTTTTTCTTTTCGAATCAAAATCAATTTTACCATTTTAGTTATCCGGACGGTTTAATCCGGTTTCGTACCCAATTAGATGATTGTACAAAGCAAGTTTCAAACTTTCTCTTTCTTCCTCATTGCTCGCCTAAAGGATTCTCTGATCCGAGCAGCAATCTCAGTCCAAAAGCTTGCTTTCCTGAATTTTTCTCGAAACCAACCCCTGGTTCGTTTCTCCCTTCTCTTTGTGTTATACGATTTGGAATCTCGATTCTGGGGGAATTTCCTGGAAACCAAAACAGATCTGTGTGATTTATATGTAATGAATCTCGTATTATGCCGTGTGTTTCTTGATTTTTCAACTGTTGGGTTCCTGTAAAGTGTTTTCATTTGGGTATTTTGGTGATGTCAGTATCGTTTGGAATTTTTATGCTTTGAAATGTCAAATGCTTTTTTTTTTTAATCAGATATCGAAACTTTTAGTTTCTGAGAAGGTCCAAAGAAAAATGGAAGAAGATTGCTTCGACTTGTTGAATCAGTTCGAGCACGTTCTTGCATCTGACCCACTCATGTGAGTATAAAATGTTCTCCTATTTTGATTTTGACATAAGTTTTTAGGCGTTTCTGATTCAGCTTTGACATAATGTTTTTACTTTGTTTTTTTTGTCCTCTCTATCTGAAATTTGAAGTGATGAAGTTGGGTTTATTCACCCCTCACAGTTCACAATGCTGGATAAAGAAGCAGGATTCTCCAGTGAGGTTGGAACCTCAACAAGTTTCTGGAATCAAGATCATAAACTGGGAATATCTACAGATATACTTATCCAACTATGCAAAGCTGCAAAACATGCGTTTCTGGCTGCATTTAAGGAGTACAAATGCCATGAGTCTGGGGTCTCTTGTTCCTTTCCTACTCTTGAGAGCAAAGTCATGAAGCATAGCCAAGCTCTTTTGCTGTTAAGCTCAGACTTTGGGACCGCATGGAACGCAAGGTACTTTAGTAGTTATAACTGGTTTGATTTGTATCCAAATGTCTTGCTTCTTATATTGTCTGTGTGTCCTGGAGATAGGAAGTTGATCTTGTCGGAAAAAAATCAGCCCGGGGTACTCATGGAAGAACTTCGTCTTTCTAGGCTCATTCTTTCAAATTGTCCAAAGAGTGAACCAACATGGAGCCATAGGTCCGTCTTTTATGCCTTTTTTCTGTTTTTTTTGTTGTAATACGTCCTCTGTGTCATCATAACTAGTGAAGAAAAAGAAGCCTATCCATTAGATTCAGTATATTCCGAAAGCTCATGATATTTTGGTTTCTGTTGTAACAGAAGGTGGATAATTAAGATGATTTCTCGGGGATTTTCCACATTACAAGATATTATCAGCAAAGAGTCTGAGCTAGTGGAATCGATAGGCGAGGTTTAGATCATGTTCTAGATCTTATACTTTATATAATGAAAGTTCATCATATATTTTGTGACATGAATATTGGTTTCTCCTTAATCTTCACAAAATGGCTATCAAATTTTATGTATTAGTTGGTCGGTCACCCCAAGTTGATCCTCAAGTACATTCACTCTTTGCAATTTCTACTAATATGACACAGAAGCACTTATTCTGCTACTAGAAGTAACTGGCTCCTAATCAGTTTAGCCTTTTGCAGAGATCAAAGATGAACTATCGTGCATGGTATCACCGTTGCTGGTTGGTTTCCTACATGACAATCGAGCAGGTATATCATTCTCTACATTTCTTCAGATTTCCAAATCTTTTGGACGTTGGTCTGAACTTGTTATCTGGACTATTGAACATTTCGTGTGGTCTGGTTTCTTGAAAGTCTAACATCTATCTGATTTCATTAAATTGGCTACTTCTCTTTATCTGAAATTGTCAAAGTTTGTATATTGTCTAAGATACACCACAAGTTTTCTCTAATCTGTGATTCGGATTACATTAATAGATGTTTGTTTTAGGTGCTACAAGAGTTGAGCAAATCTAAAAGGTGGGCAGGGCTGCATGTAGCTGATAGTTCTTGCTTCCATTATCGCAGAGTAATAGCTGCATATTTACTTGATGCAATTCTAGTAAAGCCAAAGTATAAATCAATGTAGTAAGCAATGTTCAGGGTTTTGTCTTGTTTTTTTTCATTGTTGTTCAGCGGCTGATGCTCAGGGTTTTGGAGTCACTTAATGTGAAAGGAATCAATGCGTATGATAAAACTGAGGCACATAAAATCTGGATGGTACGTTTTGTCTTCCTTACTAATCCACCTCTGGTTTCCTGCCATTACTATTCTGCTGAGCAATTTTACTTTCATTTCTGCTGAAAGTGACCAATCTCTCAAAACCCATTTACAAAAACAATGTGACAGGAAGAGCTTGATTGGAACAAAGAGTTGGTAGAACGTTACTTGGGACGAGAGGTATGATCATCTTTGATCTTCAAAAAACAAGATGTAGCACCAATCTCTTATTTGAGTTTGTTTCACTATTTCTTTCAGGCGCTGTGGCTTCACCGGCGATTTCTCTCTCTTAATTGGATAATGTATTTCGCTCGCAATCACTCCTCTGAAACTGGACAGAGTATCATCATGAATGAAGAAACTGTCATCTTCATTGGTAATGAGATCCATCTTCTAGAATCTTCTATGACCGTTCCGGATACAAAGTTTGAAGATTTTCAAGCTCAAGCACTGCATGCTGCTGTCTACATGCTATGGCTGACAAAGGTTAGTATTGGTCTCTTCCTTGTCCAAATAAACTCCACCAATAATTGTTTGTGATTCATTGATTTCTTATTCTGATGTGCAATTGTTTGTGAGCAGCATATTCCAGAATTGTGGAGGATGCTTGAGGAGAAGCTTGGAACAGAGAAACTCGAGTGTGTGCTGAACACAGTTGCTCAAGAGAGACCCCCCTCGTTTTTGCACCAATTAGATATTTTTAACTAATTCTAGCTAAAGTCAAACAAAGAAAAGTCAACTTGTCACGTCGTTAACATGTAATTGTCATATTGTTACATCACAAGACAAAATATTCGTACATAATGCAAAACATAGTCAACGAAAATCTTATCAATCAACTAAATTAATGGATCTTGTATTATCACGATCTTTCATATATGTATATTTCTTCATTGACAAAAAGAAGAAAACTCCTAACATACTTACATTTACATACATCCATTTTCATCTTCATCCTCGCAGATTATGAGTTTGGCAGCAGGGATGAGAGTTTCTAAATCAGTCCCTGCGATTTCTTATATCTCGGTTTTACTTCTATATTTTTCTTTCTACACAATAACTCCAGTTTCTTCAAAATCCTTACAAGATGACTTCATCAAATGTCTCCATAGAAACACATACGTTGAGTTTCCACTCAAGAAAACGTTCTTCACTCCTGACAGAAACGCCTCCATCTTTGACGATGTTCTTGAATCGACGGCTCAGAATCTACGGTATTTGACCAACTCAGTGCCTAAACCGGTATTCATATTCACACCGGTTCACGAGTCTCACGTCCAAGCTTCCATCATCTGTTCCAAGAAACTTAGACTTCATCTCCGTGTTAGAAGCGGGGGCCACGATTACGAAGGCTTGTCTTATGTCTCACAGATCGAAACACCGTTTATATTGATGGATCTGTCGAAATTGAGACAGATCAATGTTGATATTGAAGAAAACAGTGCTTGGGTTCAAGCTGGTGCAACAGTTGGTGAACTTTATTACAGGTATAATTTAAGGAAACAAATACTCTTTCAAAACCTGAATGAATTTTGTTTATATGTTTGATGAAGAAACTGTTTTGTTATACTTGTAGGATTGCAGAGAAGAGCAAAGTCCATGGGTTTCCGGCAGGTTTATGCTCGAGCTTAGGCATAGGTGGGCACATAACAGGCGGTGCATACGGTTCCTTGATGAGGAAGTTTGGTCTTGCTGGAGATAATGTTCTTGACGCAAAGATTGTTGATGCGAATGGTAAATTACTCGACAGATCCTCAATGGGTGAGGATGTGTTTTGGGCGATTAGAGGAGGCGGTGGAGCGAGTTTTGGGATCATTCTAGCATGGAAGATCAGGCTTGTTCCTGTTCCTGAAACCCTAACCGTCTTCACCGTCACAAAAACGTTAGAACAAGACGCAGGACACAAGATTCTTTCAAAGTGGCAACGTGTCGCCGATAAGGTTGTGGAAGAGCTCTTTATACGAGTGTTTTTCAGAGTCTTGGTGGGGGAAAATGGAAACAAGACTGTGGCAACATCGTACATAGGTCAGTTTCTTGGCGAGAAAGGCACGTTAATTGAAGTTATGAACAAGGATTTTCCGGAACTAGGGCTAACTCAAGAAGATTGTACCGAAATAAGCTGGATAGAATCGGTTGTTTCCAACGCTGGATTCCCACAACGTTCTCCTATTGAAGTTCTGCTTCAAGCAAAGTCGCCTCTAAGAAAAGAGTACTTCAAAGCAAAATCGGATTTTATCAATGAGGTTATACCTACTTTAGGGCTCAAAGGAATGTTCAAAAGATTGCTTGAGGAAGAAGCGTCGTTTATGATTTGGACTCCTTACGGTGGTATGATGTCGACAATCCCTGAATCTGAGATCCCGTTTCCGCATAGAAACGGAACCATCTTCATGACTAACTATTACACAGGCTGGTCAGAGACAGAGAACGAAAAGAGTGCAAACAAACACATCAAATGGATCAGAGATCTATATGGTTACATGATGCCTTATGTCTCAAGCAATCCAAGACAAGCTTATGTGAATTACCGTGATCTTGACCTCGGGGTGAACAAGAAAAGCACGAAGTTAAGTTTCAAAGAATCTCAAGTCTGGGGAGCTAAGTACTTCAAGAACAATTTCAACAGATTGGTGAAGATTAAAACAAAGTTTGATCCAGAAAATTTCTTCAGACACGAGCAGAGTATCCCACTCTACCTTTCTCGAAGCTAAGTTCATTGATAACGAAATAATACTTATTTGTGTAGTGAAAAGCTGACGTATGTCAGTTCCACAGTGAGTTTCAAAACATCTTGCTTACGTGTCAATTCTATAATGAGTTTTCAGCTGCAGAAAGATTTTTTACCCCTATTATTCAGTTTAGTGTAATTGTTTGATTGGTTCTTATTTAATAATGTGTAAAATTAACTTAAAACATACTGTTCTAAATTATTGTAACTTAATGGTTCATTCCATTATCAATCAAATCGTTTTTCAAATTTAATAAAAAATCAATTTAATAAAATCTAAAGAAAAAGTAATAATTAATGATAAAATGATAATATTGAGGAAAAATAGTAAAAAATCCAACTTTTATGTCACTTTAAATTTTAACAAAATATTAAAATGATAATATCGAAAAAGTAATAATTTACTACGGGGTTTTTGTCGGCTTCAAATGTTTGAAAATAATTTTTGAATAGAAGAGTAAGAATAAACTTTCTAATTTACAGAGCTTTCTGAATTACTCTAAGCTTATGAATAGATTCTTCTAGAACATCAGTTGTCCGGTCTTTATATTTACAAGATTATACACGAAAATAGAGTTCACTCAATGTATAAGTAAATTGAAAGTTCTAAGAAACCGCTCTGTTTCAAATCAAAGTACACAAATCATGCATGTTACTATTGTATATCTGAAACATGGTCTATCTATCAACTCTCATTGGTCTCTGGAAATTGTGTAATCCTCAAGGGATTTGTTGTGGTTCCTCGGCAGTGCACTTAGACGAGAGCTACTACAAGGAAAGTCTCACCATCAATCCATGACGGTGGCTTGACCCTGAAACTTAAAGTAAATTTTTGTTTGAAAATATGTGAACACTCTTGCATCGACCAGAAATTAAGGTCAATTTAAATACTGGTAAATCAACATCAATTGAACGTTGGTGTTGTTGCTTCCTGCACAAGTAATTTGAGAATTACATGGATTTGGTAAAAAACCGGATGCAAGCTGTAGTGTTGAAACTTATAAAATGAAAAAATGTTAGAAACAAAAGTTGAAGATAAAAAAGTGTGGATTCAGAGTTTCAAGAAATTCTGAAGAAGTTAAATAAATCATAGGAAATCTTTGGGAAATAGAAACATGAAACTGAGAAGTTAGTGACTGAGAACAAAAAAAAATCATATGTTGAAAGTTGGTGACGAGCCAGAATACAATTTAGATCAGAAGCTAGAAGATATGAAGAAGAGATAAATGGATTGGAATCTGCGCATGAGAATAAGTCTCAAAAAGTTTTCTGAGTATGTGAATGAGATGGTGAATAACTGAAACATCACAAGAATACAATAGAAGAAACTAACCATCTGCAGACTCAAAAGAACGAAAGTGAAGCATAGATGGTCAGAGAGAAGCAGGAGAAATCAACGCTAAACAATGTGTATTAAGCATTGTTAGAGCAAGAAGCTGCTTACAAACGAGCATGGGACACCATCATCACGACTGAAACTTTTCTTTAGTAGTTGATGTTGAAACTAGAATGTGTACTTTTAAGATTTTTTTTTTATTATTTTCTAAAAAATGTTAAGCCTAACATAGATGATCCATTTCATAGCTAGGTTCGATATCAGCTATGGCATAGGAAAAGGCTTCTTGTGGTCTCTACTTCACACGGTTAAGTAACTATATAAAGACTTTGTAAATACTTCGGGTCTAATAAAATAAACATAATTAACCAAAAAATAATATTGTAAGATAATATGTAATTTTAGATAATTTAAATTTTAAAATGTAGATTCGTTCTTCAGTATAAATTTCTCATAGAGTAAGAAAATGTTATTTTGACAACGAAAAAATATGTACACAATATGAAGAAAGAGAAGGAAGAGCTGGAGAATACGCTTAAAGGTAAAGTAAGAAAACAATAGATAAAAAAAAGGGTAATAAGTGAAATCTACTACATTTTATGTCAATTCAACAATAATGGAGACGTCGAAAATCAATGAATTGGGTTGTAGAAATAAAATGAGAGGGCAATAAGTGAAATCAGAATGTCGAGTCTTTTTTTTTTATTGTGTTCGGGTATATTATCTTTTATGGACCATCATTATCGGATTAACAAGTGACTTCTTCTAGCTCTGTCTTAAGCCTTGATTGGTATAACTGATACTAAAGCATTATGCTTAAGCAGCATAAACAGTATGATGTTTATACATAATTTATTAAGAAATTGTGAATCATGGCATTTGATGTTTATACAGAATTTACTAAAAAGAGATCTTTGAAAATAATATTCACCTTTCTTTCTTGGTTACTTAGTCACAACCATTAACCATTATCATCATCATCACGTCACCATGATCATCCTCTAATCAGTCTTAACTGTGGGTTCAAGAGTGTAAATGAGATTGCATGTATTGGATATGGTGAAAGATTGCATTAGTAAATGGCTCATTTAAATTCAATTTTATCAATAGAGCACATAGATAATTTGTGACCATATATGGATTTTAGATTTTTTTTTTCTGAAAATTAAAGGTCCATTCAGAATTATGATTTAGCATAAATAAAAAACCGATAATAAAATGTAATAAATATATATATAAAAAAAATTTGTTTAAATTTTAGTGTCTTACTTATTAAACATTTGTAACTTGTGCATGGCGCAACCCCGTTAGCTAGTTCATTCTAAATACATAATATATATCATCGCCATTTTTTATCATAAATCATATAGAATGAAATATTATGAAGTTAGCATCAACATAGTGTCAACACCGACATCATGTAAGAAAGTTTAAACACATTATAGAAGCATGCTAAAAATAATATCAAAATCTAGAGAACTTTTATTTGGAATTCACAGATATCAGTTCATATACATATTTTAGTGGGCCATAATACATGGTTTTCAATATACATATCTTATTGTCCGAGTTATCCTTCATACTACTCTGCATGATGAATATGAGACGCCAAATGTGTAATTGCGCTATAGATGAAAACGTATTTATGTATTTATATCTGAGAAACAAAATTTCCATCTTTGGAAAGCCAGTACGAGGAACCATAAGTTAACTGAGAAACTATAGATGGAAACTATATACAGTAAAACCTCTATAAACTAATAATGTCGGGACCATGATATTTTATTAATTTATCGTAATATTAATTTATCTATAAATTAATAATTATCAATTTATAGAGAAAATTTGTTTTCCGCTTATAATTTTCTAAATATTTCTTTGGAATAATGTTATATTTTAAAATTTTAACAAATTTCGTAATGTAAATTATGTTTAACAATCATAACTATCGCAATAAAATAGTTTTTAATACCATATTGAATTATCCATGTAAAAATATACATGTTCATAAGTTTAAAATCAATAAAAAGACTATGGTTACTATCCATATTATTGATGATAAAATTGAAGATAATACTACAATACATTTAAAAACATTTACAGATAAGAAAATCAATTATCACACTAAAAGTTATCATAAATTTTGAATGTATATCTTAAAACATCAATAAAAGCTACTGATATAATAATTAAATAAATAAGATCCAATGAGATTTCAACCTTAAGTAAAAGCAAACACATTAGTCATATTTTAAAATACTATATTTACATATATTTGTATAAATATATATAAGTATTAATTTATGTTTTTGTTGAGACCATATATTTCATAGAGATTTCAAAAAAATTATTATTTTATTATCTTATCGAATTTGATGAATTTTTACATTGGCCCAACTTGGAACCGGTAAAATTTATTAATTTATAGTGATTATTAATTTATCGAGTATTAATTTATAGAGGTTTTACTGTATGGTCAATTACTAATGCAATCTTCCACCATATGAGATTCAGTTAGAAATATACCAGAATAACTTTTATCTTGACCTAAATTGAGCATGTTAGGAATTCCACTTCAAAATATTGATGTAAGTTATAATAGAATATGAGGGATATGGATCAATTCGAAATGTATTAAAGATAATATGTAGCCAAGCTATATAAGATTATATCTAAAAGATAAAAGAATTATATAGTCAAACTATATATGGTCAATTATGAATATCTAAGAAATTGAAAAATAGTCATACTCTAAATATCTAAGATATATAAAGGGAATATATAGAAGACTACTAACCAAAAGTCAGAGATATTTCGGTTCCAACCCTTGCCAAGGCCTCTTAACTTTGAAAAAATATCTGAAATATTTTAACGCATGAATTCCAAATGAATACATAAACTCTTATTATTTAATTATTTATAAAATTTGAAAGTTACTCATTCCATTTTTTTAACAAGTAAGAATATCATACTTGTTTTTGAAAAAGTCCTAGTCCTAAATATTTCAAATTATGTACTGATGATAATTTTCGTTGTTCTGTATAGTACAAATATATAATTAAAATATCAAATACTATGTATATAATACTATACATACACAAAAAAGGTAAAAAAATCGTTTTAACTAAATTGACACAGCACAAAAAAGGTAAAAAATCTTTGAAATTCAGAGTAAGAAAATAAAATCCTTTTTAAATAAAGGTAATAATTTATTCACTTTGATTTTTTTGGTTCATGCATTAGCGATGTACGTATTGTTTTATTTTATGTATTGTCTATTTCTAACTAAATTGGTACAACACTATATTAAAAAAAGCAAAAAATCTTTGAATTTCAGAAGAAAGGAAATAAAATCTTTTTTTAGATAATTGATATTCTAGAATTATACAAAACCAGCGGCAGATTCAGAAAGATTTTTTTATTGGAGGCATAAATAATATACTAAAGATTTATACAATATATTTGTATATATATATATTAATTTTAATATCAAATCTATAGTGTTTAGCTTTTGGCGTTTAGCTTTTTCATGAATATTCAAATTATGAAAAATATAAAATTTTACAAGATATGTTACTCATGTTCTATTTTTTTCATAAGAAATTGGAGATACAGTTTAGAAGAAACAAAAAAAATAGTAAACAATA